ATGCTATTTAAATCAAGGTTGCCTAGTTGGACTGTATTTTCGTGGCATTCTACAGGAGTTCACTTGGTACCTTCTGCCCGGCAAACTGCACTTGCACATAGGGGTCCACCAGGTCTTTATTCTCCCCAATGAAAGCCTTCTTGACGTTGGCCATGATGCTGGTGTTCATCCTGGGCAGCCCCTCGGCCCTGTACACTTTCAGAAAGTAGCGGGCCCACTGGCGCTCCGCTGGGACCCCCTCCGGGATCAGCAGGTTGCTGGCCACAGGAAAAAAAAAACAGAAAGGACATCGAACTGCATACCGATACGCAGTTGATTTGGTGACTTTACCCCTCAATGTCGTCCTCGTCCGACTCGCCGGCTTTGTGCGGGGTCTTGATGGTGTCCCCCTTGGCCACCACAGCCACGTCGCACTTGACGTAACCTTTGCACCCGGCCGTGATGTCGTCGGGGTCGGACAACAGAGCCCATTTGTGGTAAAATTGATGGTCTATTTCAAAAAATAGGAAAGAACAAGATGAAAATAGACATCTCAAAATGAATAATGACAGTAAATTTACATTTGAAAATTTGCCCTCATTTTCTTTTGGGAACTCAGTCCCCGTTGTTCACTGAAAATTTTGCTTTTGTGCTTCGACCAAGTCCATGTCTAAATTAAAAATATTGCTGCGGCGCCATCTTCGTCAGGTCATCCATCGCCTTGTCAACAAAAAATGGGCATAATAGAAGTAATATCTCTCCGCAAATTATTAGGCCTTCAATGAATAACCTGGTTGAGAGTAGATGGTGCCGACATCCATTTTAAAAGTCCCCACCAGTGTTCCGCTTCGAAGGAGGTTTTTGGAGTGGATGACCTGTTGGAAATAATCAATCAAAAACTCTGACACTTTATTTATTTTTTTAAGCGAAACAGTGATAAAAATGCACTTACAGACAACTTCAGAATCTTGTCAAACATCACATCCGGAGGGACGTGGAAGTCAAAGACAAAATACTGGAAAATGAGAATCAAAATGTTAGCATATTTATTTTGTGACTCTACATTTGCTTACTTGGAAATACATATGTAAAAAATACAACGAAACAGCTCATCTCATGAGGGAACTGGCCTCGTTGTAATAGGGACAGTTGGTGGACTCCTTCATGGATGTGTATTTCTTCTCTTCCCCAATCTCCACGCACACCATGGGGTCCATGTTGAGACCCACCAGCTGCCGGGCCTCGATCACGGTCACGCTCACCTGCAAACAAACGCAAAGAAACACGCAACTAATTAGTTAATTATTATTCATATTTAAAAAATGAACTGGAATCTAAGGAGATTTGTTTATTTAATGTATGAAAAGAAAGAAGGGAGGATAGTGGAAGGTTTTCGTAAAATGAACAAAATCGGTTAACCCCACCCCCCCCAAAAAAAAGGAGATATTATTTTAACACGATATTGTCTCGTCCAAAAGTTATCCTTACTTGATAATCCACAGGCCGTCCTGAACTGGGCTCCATCTTGATATCAGGTTTGGACCTGTGTATCATTGAGCTCAGTCAAAAAAAACAAAACAAAAAAAACAACAACAACAACAAAAAACACATGCAGTACATTTTACGTTTACTTTTGTACTTGCATTTCTCAGCTAACCTTTAGGCCTTGATCAATTTTACAAACCCTTCAGCTTGTTTGTGGCCATTTTTGGCTGGGTTTTAATCGGCCAAAAGTGGCCACGTTAGAGCAAAAAGGTGAATTATACCCTTCATTACATTTGCATCAACACAGATAAAATGATTCCAAACAAACAAACAAAAATAAAATGGAAGTAACGTGGACAAAAAAAATGGTCAGTATGAACTCGGAAGGTCAAACGTCAACAAACGGGACCTCTTGTTGGACACGTTGGTGGTGACGGCGGTGACCGAGGCCAGCGAGACGGCATCCGGGTCGAAGCGTCCTCCCATGAATGTGGCCTGGCGGTCCAGGTTCTGCGTCTCCAGGATAGCCGGCTCATCTAAACAAAAACAACAACATGGAGTCGGGTCCAACGGTATTGCTAATACAAACAATAAATAAATAAATGGAGCGGGGAACCATTAGTTCTTAACCCCCCTCATAGCTGCCGGTCAGATTTCTAGAGCCTTTGACTATCTATCTATCTATCTATCTGCCTGTCTGTCTGTCTGTCTGTCTGTCTGTCTGTCTGTCTGTCTGTCTGTCCAGCAAGCTAGCCAGCTAGCTAGCTAGCTAGCTATGTGTGTATAGTAGGATAGTAGGGGTTAAGCTTTTTTTTTTTTTTTTTAATTTAATTTTCGTTGTTCCATACCTCCATTCTTGTCCTGTTTGTGTCCTCGGTGCTTCGCGCGCTTCATTATTCCAACACTGCACTTGACCTGATTTGGACAGAAATCTCCATCTTTTAGAAAAGTGATTCTCAAAGTTGCATTGAGTGACACAACCAAACATACCTAACGAATATATGTCAATGAGTTTCATCATATTGCCTGCTGGCATGTATTGTATTGCTTGCGACGAAACATCCGTCGCTCCAAGGGTTAGAACATTGGTGACTATTCATGCTATTCGTTAGCCTGTCGATGGCGTTTGTCACTGGGCGTTAGCATGAAGCTGGCGGCCAATGGGATGTGGTCGCTTGAAATACAGACGCTCTGCTTTGATGTTTGCTTTGGCAGAAATGTCCAATTGGGAGAGGCAATAAACCATTTGAAGTCTGCTCTTGTACAACATCAAGTGAGATGAATCAAGTGTCCTGCCAACATCTAGCACTTGTATCTCAAAATTTTACACGCAAATCAAATTGTGCATCATCTTACAGTGACTTACAATATTATTAAAGATAACTTTTTTGAGGAATAAAACATCTGCCTCATTTTTGATGATTACATGGATCACCTGGAGTTTGAACATAAACTAATGATTAAAAACAAACAAACAAACAAACAAAAAAAAACCCTACAATAACATTGCCACTAAGTCATTTTACAAAACCCCTTGCCAAGCAGCAATATAATGGCAATATTGGACACCCAAAAGTTGCCCGCAAGCCAGAGTCTCAGTTTGGAAACACGTTCCACATAAACGCCATGATAGGCTTGCCTCGCCCTGCTTTGGCCATGAAAAGGCCTTTTAATTATTCAAATGAGTTAATGTGATCATTACAGAGGATACATTTCACATGCATTGTGAGAAAAAAAAAACAATGACACAAACTCTTAATGGACACTATGAATTCATACGCACTTTACCGCTTAACTTCTTGAATGACTTGAACGCAAATAAAATACATTGACCATCTCTCTAGATGTGTTATGAGTCATAAGTCAAATGTATGGATGATACCTACCAGTCGATGCAGTGATGCTTGGTCTTCACGGAGATTCCGTTCCAAGACGATAGTCTTCCCCTGAAATGAAGTTAAAAAATATATATAAATAAAAAAATAAAGCCTAAATGAACATTTTGGACGTTTTTGACACAACGCAAGCCGTAATACGAATGAGCTTGACGAGTGGACTCGGAGAGATGTGATACGCGCACCATGAATAGTGCATGAGTGCCGAACTCGACACTTGGAACTTGGAGCTGCCAAGTGACCAATCAACATGCACACACACACACACACACACACACACACACACACACACACACACACACACACACACACACAAAACTTGACAAGAGGCTAGTGATGAAACAGGAATATGACAAGAATTGTAATGGTGCATGCTATCAACACAAAGCATTTACAGTAACATCATCACACATACAATAAATACAAGCAAGGCTCCAGAGCAACTTTTTTTTTCTCATTTTCAAGGACGGTTCGATTTTGACAATGGAACAATTCGATTCAGTGCCACTCAACGGGATTTGGATTTGATTCGATGTGGTACAACATGTGCATACACTTACGTCTGCGCTCAAGTTTTTGCAACGTAAACAAAAGTCTTTGGGGATTTTTTTCTCTTTTAATCTTGACCTGAGTTTTAAAAGGGGGCCATATTGAATGTACGCTGGCCTCTGTGGTGTCATTTCCCATTGACACTCAAGAAACCAATGAAAAAAAATGGAACCCTGTAGTTTGTACGCGCACACAAAATTGGCACAAAATTCAGATCAAATGGTAAAAATTAAAAAATAAATAAATATTTTTTTAAAAATTGGTGATCGAGTGACAGAAGGGAGCCTGTCTTGAGGCAGCCCTGCGCCCAAGTCATCACCTCATCAATTACACATAGACGTTGAGTCTTAAGTTGCTGGTGTCCAGTGAAATATCAGTCAATTATTCACACGTTACACTCAGTCAGTCAGTCAGTCACTGACACCCAAAAACACAATTTATTTTTTTTGTCATTATCACACCGGGAAAAAAAATGGGGCATTTATCAACAGCTTCTTAACATTGAACATCTCATGTTTCGGAGTTGTTATTTCTGTCTACTTCTACGCTGCGAGCTAGCGATGCTTCCAGTTGAGCGTCCACACTGTTGAGGGATTGTGCTTTTAATTACTTTGGTCAACGGCGCACAACAGCGAAGGCAGCTGTCAACAAAGCCTTGCTGTCGTCACTCGTGAAGAAGAAGCGGAGGAGGGCAAGTTACAGCGCATTACGGATAATGCTGAGAGGGCAATATGGCTTGTGAGTGAATCGGAAGGCCTTAAAGAAGATATTTCACGTTATCGAGAAATCATCGAAAATTAAATGCATTGCTGAAGATTACGTTGGTTGATGACCCAGCCGCCTGAATGACAATATAAATTAATAGATGATGGATTTATTCTTTTTTTTTTTTTTTAACTCATCACTCAGAGTTGGATGGGCGGCCTTCATGACTTAATACCAAGCGTACAATCTTACCTTAAGTCCACGGCTCCCTTATTTGTGCTCCACTGATTCTGTGTACGCCACCTGACCAACACAGTGTCAGGTTTCCGCATTTCAAAAACGCCATCCAGGGCAGGTGGAGCAGACCTGAGGTGAACTCAACCCAGGATGGATTTTGTCAAATGCCTTGCTGTCGTCACTCGTGAAGAAGAAGCGGAGGGAAACCTCATCAGGTACACTTGCACAATACAATCTAATATTGTGGTCATTTTGTTGAAATACCATCTCTCAGTTTCGCTTTCACAAAAAAAAAAAAAACTATTAAAAAAAATTTAATATAACAAAGCAGGTCACCTTTAAACTACGGCGGCACGTGACCAGTATTTTTTCATTTCTCATTTGTCCGGTAAAACATCAGTAAATAAAGCATAAGCCATACACGAATAGACTTCGTGTATGGCAGGGGTGTCAAACTCATTTCACATGTTGGGCCACATACGGCCTCGGTAGATGTCAAGTGGGCCGGACCATTAAAATGATACAATACTTTGCTATAAATAACCAAAACAATTGTCTTTCCTTTGTTTTGGTATAAAGAAGCACAAGAACATTAGGAAAATGTTGAAATTTAATGAACATATCTTTTACAAAACATTTCATGAAGCACCTTACATTTCCTTCGACAAATGTGCAATTTACTTTTATCATTCACATATATGCATTGCAACTGATCCCACTGATTGTACAAACTTTAACAAGTAATTGGTATTGAAAAATATAGTAATGCACTTTAAGATTAAACAAGATTCATAAAGAAAGCAAGTTTTAAAGCATTTACACGTGCATATAAAATCTAAATGTAATCCCTGCCTACACCTTACAAACTAAGGAGAGTGCTATTAAATGTGTAAATTTGAGAGTGCTATTGATAGCGTCTGCTGTCATGGGTCTGTCTCAGTGACAGACTGAGGCTGCTGTTGTCTTCTTCTCTGATCAAAACAGTGTCCCCTTGCGGATACTCAATGAATTGCACCTGATTAAAAATATTAATTCTGTGTCTTTAATGCATTTTTTTCACTTTTACATTATCCTGCGGGCCTGATTGAACCTACTTGCGGGCCGGTTCCGGCCCGCGGGCCGTATGTTTGACACCGATGCTTTACATAATCATCTCGCGGGCCGGATTAAACTCCTTTGCGGGCCGGATCCGGCCCGCGGGCCGTATGTTTGACACCCCTGTTCTAGATTGAGACTGTGAAAATCATGAGTATTGGGATTTGACCACTATTAGTGTTAGGGTTTGGACTCCTTTGATGTAGGGTAAGAGTTAGACTCCTGATTTACAGTTCGGGTTCATTGCCTTTATTTGGCATTCAGGGTAGTCCTCAGCATTTGATTGGTTTCGAGTAGGACTTAGTCTCCCAATTTAGAGTTGGGATTAGTCACCTGATTTCGGGTTAGGCTAGTCCTGTTTTATGATTATTCATAGTTTGTGATTTAGGGTCAGACCCCTGATCTGAAGGTTAGGGTTTGACCCCCAGCCCAGTTTTGAAGCAACCACGACGTTTTTATTTATTTTTTTTTTCTGGTGAAAAAATTGTACCTGTCATTGTAGTGGTGAGCGGCACAAATGTGGACGAGAGGCTTAAAGCTGCTCGGGAAAGGAGAGAAGAACAACAGAGGTTACTCGGTACGTGGCGGGTTACTTCCAATCGCCCCTTGGATGAAAAAGTGAGTGACTCCATTTCGACGTTTGTGGTTCCCACGTCAAGCCTCACGGGTGCACAGCAGGTATGAGCGGGAGCAGCGAGCCAAGCTCCACTACGAACAGCAGCTACAGGAGCGCCAGAAGAAGCTTCAGGAGCAAAAACTCAAGGAGGACAGGAGACGCGCTGCCGTCGAGGAGAAGCGACAGCAGCGTCTCAAGGAGGAAAAAGTGAGTTCTTCAAAAGCGAACGAAGCCTTGAGCAAGTCCTAAATTAAATCCCGCAAAGATTTTGCAACTCAAGTCAAGTGACAGTCCCCATAAATTGCAAGCAAGTCCAGTCAAATCATGACTGTTTTACAAACAGCGTAAAATCTCGGCGTATCAACTGTTATAGGTCATGGGAAAAAAAATCTGCAGTGCAGCAGAACCACAAAGGGTGAACCGCGATAATGCGGGAGATGATTGTAAATAATACTGTACATCAGGGCTGCCAAACTCACTTTTGAGTTGCGTTTTCCCTCAGAGGGCCGTTATGATGTTTAATCTCATTATCGCATTATTACTTGTAAGGGTAACAAAATGATTGCAAAACCTCTTTTTATTACACATGACAATTTGACATTTCGGTACATTTTTTTTAGCAAGGCTCATGCAAGTTGACACACATGATTTTCTTTCGGAGGGCCAGATCTGGCCCCCGGGCCTTGAGTTTGACACCTGTGCTGTACATCTAGTTCATACTATACGTAGGTGACCGTCTTTTTCCAAATGCAAGGAGCGAAATGAATCTGCCGTGCGCCGGACCCTGGAAAAGAGCCAAAGAGCCCAACAAAACTTCAGCCAAAACGTGAGCGGCAGGAAGCCCGCTAAAAACGGTAACACAGGAATCCAACATCGTGTGTGTGTGTGTGTATGTGTTCTCGTGTTTTGAAACTTTCTATTCTGATGTGGCTTCACTTTTCCTGGCACGTCTGATCTTAAACTCTGCGCTGATCCATCCACACATTAGCTCCACGTCACATAGTGCTCAGCACATGGGAGAAGAACCTGGTGAGTCGCCTGCTAACTCCCACAAGCTCTTATCTGGCACGGAGCAAGAGTGCTGTTGGTCAGTCGGGAGAAGAAGGTACTGACCCCAGCTAGTTGCAATGCATCATGGGAATGGCTTGCCAATTAAAAAAAGCAACCTAACTTCTTCTGCGTTCTTTGATGACTAATACTTTTCTTCTCCCACTCTCCTCACACGCCTTCCCATTCTGTCCGCTCTTTTCCCTTCTAACGATCCCTGCACATTCCCCACCATAATGGCAATGAATCCCGGCTCAGTTGTTCATATTTGTCGCCGTGCAGTTTCGTTTTACTCCACGACCAGTAGCAGCCCAAGCGGCACCCAGCAGAAGCTCCAGGATCACAGACCACAGATCCAGAGGCCCCAAAACCAGAGAGCCCAAGACCGGAAACCCCAGATTCAGAAACCCCCAAATCAAAGGCCCCAGATTCAGAAACCCCAGAACCAGAGACCACAGGACCAGAAACTGCAGAAACCCCAGAAACCCCAAATCCAGACATTACAGAAGCAGAAACCCCAGATCCAGAGAACTCAGAACCTGAGACCCCAGAGCCAGAGGCCACCGCCGCCACATCTGAGTCCCAGCCACAGCCAGAGAAGAAGCACCAGCGGTGTACAGGTGACATTTTGACAAGATCTACAAAGATAGATGTTTAGTGTCACAAGGACTTCGTGGGATTCGTAAAAGTATATTGGCCCATTCTTTGTTGATGTGCATCTTTTTACATTCTATGACTGTTTTTGGTTTAGCCCAAAGCAAGCACACCACACACCGCTAACAAGAAGACTCCAAACATGGGTCCACCTACTCGTTCGCCTACAAACCGTAACGCGGCAACTAAAACGAGCAGAACGGCGTCATCGCCCTCTCCGGAACGGTAGGTGAACACAAATCGTGTCACGTGACGACACCACGAAACATCTTTCCATCTCTCTCGGAAGGGCTCACAGGAGATCAGGCCGGCAGCACTCCATCCCTCTTCAACTGGACCTCGAGTCGGTTCCCGAGGAAGACGTTCCAATTTGCAACTCTGCCCTGTCACCTGGCAACTCCAGGCCCGCCAGGGCCTCCACCGAAGACAACATGGAGGATTCGCCTGAGACTCTGAGCCGCGAGCCGGAAGTTGAGAGCAGAACTGCCGGAGATGGCAGTGAGTACCGACAAGGGAATTGATTCTTGAATGAGATGCGATGACGATTGAAATTGCGTTCCCTCATTAGGGTCCTCCGTGATTCTTGCAAATAAATCCAGGATTTTTCATTGAATAGGTTTAGGTGTTGGGGTTAAAGTTGAAGTTCGTTAAAATCCTAACCCAAGAAGGAATGGACCCCTGATTGGGCTTTTGGGCGTCAGACCAGGACGAGGGTTAAATGAGCTGCGATGATAACGAAGAGAGGTCTTTTTCCCTGATCAGGTCCCTCCACGATGCTTTCTGCTCCACCCAAAGCCCTGCTGAGGCCCTTGAATGGTCCGATCAACCCAGAAGAGGCCTCTGGAGAGGCTATGCTGCTCGGGGAGCTGGAGGAGCAGGAGCACTTGGCAGCGGCTGAAGCTGAAAGGTAAGCGAGGATCATGGCACCACAGCCCAGACTCATGAGATTAATTTGCCCTGGCCTCAATCTCCAGGCGCAGTTGGGAGGAGCTGCAGCGCCGCAGAGTCGAGGAGCGAGCCCGGCAGCGGGCTGAGACCGAGCGTCTGATTGCGGAAAAGCAAAGACGCGAGGAAGAGGAGCATAGGCGGGCCGAGGAGGAGAGAGCTCAAGCCATGCGTGAAGCGGCTCTTCTGCACAAGCAGGTGGGCGGCATATGCATCGCCAACATCCCTGAAGATCACCAAACACGTTCCGTTAAACCCTAAAACTAAGTTCAGATGAACAAACCTAACTGGGGGTCGGCAAAAGAAAACTGGGTTTTAACTCTGTATCTTACTTCAAGGGGTACGACGCTAACTTGAACTGGACCCCCCTAAGTCTGAGCCAGGGGTCTAACCGAAATTTTAACCTTGGACCCTAGACCAGAATCTTAGGTGTAACCCAAGTCCCGAACTCCTAAAATGAGCCAATAATGCTAAACCTCAGTGTGAAAGGAAAATGCAAAAAGCGGTGGTCGACTGTAGTCCCGAACTGCAGCTGTGGGGGTCTTGAGTCACATAGCTGGACTCAAATCAGACTAAAGCCAGCAAGCTGAGGACGTTGGACTTGCTTGGCGAAGACTCCAGTTGAATTGGTATTTCGAAGACTAGGCTGGTCTTATACGGCATGCCATGACAGCCACTTGACTTGGAAATCTGCATTTTCAAGACGGTGAGCCATCTGTGTTGTTTTGGCAACACACTAGTAAGCTGTAGTGTGGAGGGCAGAGGCCACCGCTTAAAGCAAGTACATATCATGAACGGAGCATTAGAAATAAATGCATTTGAGAACAAAAAATCAATTTGAATCAGTAAATGGATTTTGATTCAAAAGATGTGAGTGCATCAAACCAAATCGTTCTTCTTAAAAAAATATAGGATGCACACCCCTAATTATGCTTTTGATACAATTGGAAAGACAGAAAAGCAACATGCAAGGTTTGCAGCTCAAAGATGAGACACAACAACGACTTTTGGCTTGCTCGACATGCTTAAAATTTGGTGGGGACTCAACTGTACTTGCTTGCTTTTTTTTTTTTTTTTTTTTGCACAGTAATTTGGGACTTGCTTGAACCTTGTAGGTTACTTGATATTTCCTTTTGACTTGTGCATCGGTGACCCACTCCCACACCATGACGGCTGCAGAGGGAGGAGGAACAAGCCAGAGAGCGGGAAAAAGCGGCCCAGGTGCAGAAGGAGCGTGAGCTGCTCGCGCAGAAAGAGGAAGCCGAACGCCAAGTTCGAAAAAAGGTGACTTTTTTATTTTTATTTTGTTCAATTGCAAGAACCATTCACACCTATGGACATTTTACAGTCTTCAATTTACCAAAGAAGCTTGTTTGGGGAAATCTAAGTAGGAGGAAGACCAAGTACCTGGAAAAAAACACAGTTCTTGTTTTTATTGTCAGTATAATTAGCAGTAGTGATAGTCGTTGTGATAGGATAAAAATGGATCCAAACGCATGTGTCACGTGCCTCACCCCTAAGCGGTTGGGGGTTCACCACCTTTGCGGTACCTGAACCTGGCAACCTTTTGTAGCGAAACAAAGTCTTAAGTGTCTGAGCCTGTTGATCACACAAGCCTTCTGTCTCGACAGAGAGCTTGAATACTATTCCAAATGTAAGCATATGACATTCAAAGCTCTTTGGCCCCTGCAGCGGCTGGAGGAGATCATGCGGAGAACCAGAAGAACAGTTTCTCCTGACACGGTGAGGCTGGCCCAGCAGGGTCTTGTGACGCGCACAAACATTGCAGCTCATTGTCTCAAACCGCCTGGTTACTTTTGCTTGTGCCCGCAGAAATCAGTGACGGTGAGCATCTTACCGAAGGAGAACAATGAGCCTCCTGTGCAGGATGCCGTCCAGCCGCCGGCGGGTTCCAGGCCCTCGCAGGCGGTAACGGATGACAAGGAAGCCAATGATGACATGGTGCCTGTGGTGGCCTTCAAAGAGCGCAGGTCTCTCCGGACTCTCACCGGTCTGGAAGACATCCAGACACACCAACGAGCAGGTGAGACGACGCCATAAGATCCAAAGACAAAAATGTTTGGAATTGCCTTTGCTGGTGTGTCCACGCTTCTCTGCGAGTTGATGGATTATGAATTTCTCTCATTCATTGCTGGTTCTAATATTGTCTCCCTGATGTTTATCCTCAGAAGTCATTTGATCTACGCCGTCACAGACAAGCACGAAAGTCACCACTATACTTTGAGGACTGTGATAACCACTATCTTCTTCTATGTAAGATTTCAAGCAAATGTCCTAAAAGGATCAATTCAGCACAGCAGGAATATCAATTCATTGTGGCTTTTGCCCCCCCCCCCCCCTGACTTCACATCACAATTGTGGACACTGTCGTCCTTTGTGTATTTACAATCACACCACACTTTTGGTTATTTGTTGCTGTCAAAGTGCTTTCTGTTCAGAATGATAACATTTAATCCTGTCTGTAGTGTGAGCAATTTATAAGCTGCTACAGAACCCTAAAGTAGTTCCCAAAGACTTTGCTTTTTTTAAGTGTCAGGTAATGTATTTTTGCACAAATAGCTGTGGCTTTGCGTAATAATAATCATAATATATGCAATCTTTATCAAGGTGATTGATGATATTTTATTCTTGTTACATGAAGGCGTACGAAACAAATCAACATTTAATGATGTTAAGTTTTTGTTACTTGTTAGTAAAATTTTAACTAAAATGCACAAGTTATGCTATTTGTTTAAGGCTGACTGTGTCTTTGTTGACTGTAAATATTGTTACATTTACGAAATGAGATGCCTGCCTATATTGTATATCATATGAATATTGAAACTGCTTTGCCATCCTTCAAACTTTCAAACCAATAAAAAAAATGGAAACTGGTCTGATTATTCCTGTTCGACAGCAACGTAACGTTTCAAAATCACAGGCTTGGTTCACGTTAGCCAACTTGTTTCGGTAGACTTTTTGCTCCCTTTCTTGTCCTGCTGGGGGCAGCAGCACAGACCGGAGGGCGAGGAGGACGAAAACATAAAACGAAGAAGAGAGGGAACGCGTCGCTCGCGCAGCCATGTCAACGCTCGAGTGTTTTGCTTATGATCTCGCGCTACTCTTGGCCGAATAAATCACACGTAGACCGGGGAAAGTACCGGAAAGTCACGCCGATAAAACAGATACTGAGTGGTTTCGAGGTGTGTGGGGGGCGGGAAAAGAGGAACGGTCTCGGACCCCTTCCTATACTGTAGTTAGGTGACGGTGAACGGTGTGGTGCACTGATTGATTACACTGAACCCAAGAATCACAGAGTTACTACGGGCAGTTACGCGAGCCGGCTTTCCTTCGTTGCGCATTTTGGCATGGTTATTTTAAATATCCGTAGTGCATTTCTGACCGGCTTTAGACGTCAGCTGGTCATTTGACCAGCAGGTCGTTTGAGCGCCAAAAGGGACAAGCGTTTGACTTTACGTATGACGTCACTCCCGGCAAAGCTAAGCTAACGTTAGCACGCTAACGTAGCTAGCTAAATGACAGACTTCGGGGATGCCTGCAGGTAAGTTTACATCAGTTTTTTTTTTTTGGGTGGGGGGGCGTCTCCACAGTGACTTAAATTTCCAAGGGTAAATGCAGCGTCGCTCCACTTTCTTCATATCTAAACGTCATCATGACGTCTTACGTACTTCCGGTAAAGGTAAAGGCTTTCACAGTCTCCACCACTTGTAAACAAACACATCTATGTTGACAGTCTTAATATCGCCTCTGTTCAACAATTATTTTTGGAAAGACATTGATAAAAACCTTTTGGGGTTTATCTGATGACAAAGCCCACACACATGTTCTAGTCCTAAGACTAAGACGAAGAAACGGAATTTTGGAGGCAAGCGTTCAACAAAGTGCTTTCCACACGTCTTAAACGTCTGAGACCATATTAACATGCCAGAATTGCTCCGTTGCCTAGTACCCAAATCAAATGTCAGGTGATTGCCATCTGGAGTCACTCTATTAGTCCATTGATTTGACTTTGCAGCCTTTTCCAGAAGCTGTTGTCCACTTTGTGTGCTACATTCACATTACAGGTGGGAGTACCTGGACAGCGACCCAGGACGGACTGGAAGATACATTTGATAAGCCAAATAAAAAAAAGTCCAAGAAGAAAAACCCCGAAAACAAAGAGAGCATTGTGGTAAGGCATTGTACTCATGTATTTGTCTGCTGTTTGCACGTCATATGGCCTGCTTCCCATTCTGTTCAGTGGAAACCTACTGCTCGACCTCCAGTAACTGTCATGAAAGTGTAAAAATTAGTCAACCTTCTTAAAATTGTAAAAACATCCAGTCAACTATTCACTATCCCCTGCAAAACACTTGCATTCGAGAAACTGAGATATAGCAAGATAATGTCGGCCCAAAAGTTTTTCTCCCCCTGACTTTCGCGGTTTATTCTTCCAGAAAATGCTGCTCAAATGATTTTCCTTCTCTTCAGCTTCAGACTCTCAAGAACCTCCATCTCAGGAAGGACGGGGAGTCCGATGACGACGATGCGCATCATCCGCAACACGACGACAACGAATGTGAAACAGCCACAAACGTTAACAACGAAGAGGATACTCCGCCATCGAAAGCTAAGAGGAAGACTAAGAGGGAACTTCCCGGCCGGCCTTTGCCCGACAATGTCGCCGGCTCAGAAGCAGATGGCGTACAGAAGGAGGCCAGACGCGGGAGTAAGAAAGGCAAACGGAAAGAGGACGCCAAGGGAGATGACGACAAGGACGGTGAGGACCTGCTGAGGGAGTACCAGCAGCAGATGGCGCCAGAAGCTGAAGAGCCACAAGGGAGTGAGGACGTCGGGAAGAAGAAAAAGAAGAAGAAACTGAAATCTGCCGCCACCGAGTCGGATGTTGGGTGAGTTTTCATTGGTTTACTTTGATTCATTTGTCTCTTTTAATATTCCCGAGACACTTTTTTGATTGATTGATTTTCTGTCCATCAGGGATCATGACCAGGGCGATGATGTGGAAAGTGACTCGAAGGAGAGGAAGAAGAAGAAGAAAAAGTCAAGTAAATAATACATTTTGTGTTATACAACGTTCAGGATTCTCGCTCCCCAGCCATTTCTTCCGGGGGGAATCCCAAGGCATTCCCAGGCCGAGACCGCAACACCTCATCACGGAGGTGTCCCGGAGGCATCCTGATCAGAAGCCCGATCTCGTCCAAATGTTTTGAGACCCAGAGAATTTTGTTTTTTTATAATAATACAAGCACTGAATTTAACAAAAGAAAGACAATACTCTCTGCCACTTTTCAGCCGCGGAGGAAGGGAACGCCACCGAGGTGCCTAAGAAGCCTGACCTCGATGGAAATGACGGCCTGGTGCTGGGGGTGTACGTGCACCGGACAGATGGCCTCAAGACGGACTTGCGCGTCTCGCATCCCATGGTGAAGGTCCACGTGGTGGATGACCTGACGGGCCAGTACGTCAAGAAGGAAGACAGGTAAGGTATTGTCCCGTTGAGTTGAGGATTGTCGTGCATCCGGAGAATATTCCCAGTGCTTCACTTTTCCCACATTTCACGGCATTTTTCAAAATGGAATACAGTGCCGCGTATTCACCCACCCACCCAATTTTGCGCTTCATGGCCGTGAATACATATCCACTTGATTTTTCATTTTTGTCATTCTCTTATAAATTCTCTCAACTCTGAAAACAAGATCAACATTTTCCCATCACATTTGTCGTCGTGTGTAATCTTCTGAACCGGCCTGTATCTTAACACCATGATGGACGTGTAACACTGTTGGCCACTTCAGCCATCGCCCCGTGTCGTCGTTTTACGAGCGAGACACCGTGGAGCACATCCTACCCATCATGACGCAGCCATTTGACTTCAAGAAGAACAAGTCGGTCGTCCCTGAGTGGAAGGAGCAGATCATCTTCAACGAGCCCTTTGCGCACTTTGTCGGGCGGGATCCCGAGAGCCCAAAAGTTGTCCTCTTCTTTGAGGTGACTCACACACAAAAAGCTCGCTCACATAAAACGTCATAGCCTCTTTTTTTTTTTTTTTTCCCCTCCACTCAATAATTGGTTGCTTTCCTTCCCCCCAAGATCCTGGACTTCCTCACCATGGAGGAAGCCAAAGCCAACGTTGATGTTGCCATCCCTGAACGAGGATTCAGAAAGATCGCGTGGGCTTTCCTGAAGGTATTTTCTTTCACTCTTCGTTGTGGACTCATCGTGGAAAATTGATTTTTAATTGAACTAGTTTCATCATGTCAGTATTTCGTACTGAATCTCTTTCAAAAATCGAATATGTTTGTGCACACCTGGTTTTAATTGTTTTAAAAAATGCAGCATATGTCAGTTTTTGCTTTCCTTGCACTTTTTATTCAATTTTATTTTTTTTAAACCTTCAGCCAGTTGGCGCCAACGGCGTGCTGAACACGGGCAGCAAAATCCGCCTGCAGCTCTACTACCCGCCCACGTCGGCCAAGAGGCAGCCTCGCACCATCGAGGTGTTGGAGTGGTGGCGGCATCACCCGCGCGTCAAATACGCGTCCACCCTCTATGTCACAGTGAAAGGCATCAGACTACCTCAGCACGTGAGTAAGAAGACAAAAATAGCTGCCGTATGGTTGCGTCAAAATGAACACATCCCTCAAATGGATGCTGAATAGACGGTCGTGCGTAAGTACGCAAACTGCACAAACGGCGCCATCTTGTGGACGCCTTTGGGCGTTCAGCAAACAGCGAACGCTAGGTTTAAAAAGAAAAACAAAGGTGCATTTGTAAATGGTGACCCGCGTCATGTGGAGGGGATTACTTTATGGCAACCTTCAACATTGTTCGTGTGACTCCACAAATGCTTCATTTTAAGTGTGACTGTCAGAAATGGATCAAAATGGAAGAAAAAAATTCACCCAATGCCGTCATTGTTTTGAAATCCATTCAGGTGGACCCCAGCGTGCGTTCCATGATGGCGCTGCAGGAGGAGCGAGGCAGCACCTCCTACAGCGAGCTGCAGGACGTCGCCACCAAAAGGACGTCCACGCCGAACGTGGAAGGGAAGAGTGCTCCAGCATTGAAGTGGAGCAGAATACCCGGCCAGGTCAATGTCGTTTATGCAAGTAAATTACGAGCTTGCTCAGGGTCGAGGTACCACCGTACAACCGCGTGTCTTCGTCGAAAACAAAAAATGGTCTTGGGAATGTTCGCCTTAGATGGAGGTGGGACAGATGGGCGTCATTTTAGGGTCTACAGAAAGAGCATGTATTCTACTGCAAAGTCACCGACTTGCGAATTGGCCGTACGTGTTGTAACGAAAGTTGACTTTGGTGTCTATTATTAAAGTCCAGGCTTTATTTTCAAGGTGTGTCGGATTCCCAACAAGCCCATGCTGGCCTTCCGCGGAGGTCAAATGGGCTGCCTGACGGTGCTCTTCTCTCACGCCGGGACGCTTCTCGCCACCGCGTGCGCCGACAGAGATTTGTTCCCCGTTGTAGGTGAGTGAGGTGTCGCACAAAAACCGCACATCTGGTTGCTTTCATCTTCACAGATGCAATATAAATGTCATTTCTGTTGCAGTGTTTGAGATTCCCTCAGGGAAAGCCTTGGCTGCCTTCACCGGCCATCTTAAAATCGTGTACGAACTCTGCTGGTCCGCCGACGACAGACGTCTTTTGTCCGTCTCGTCCGACGGAACCGTCAGGTGCGATGCTCACGCTTGACTTAATTTTGTGAACAGTATTTGAGGAGGGCGTTCTTTGTCTCACGTAGTGGACACAGCCGGCATCTCTCAAGAAGGACTGCCGCCTTTTGAGGAAATAATATTATTTGAGATGAGGAGTTTTTATCGATTGGAGGGACGGCCACCAGATGAGGAAATTTTATTTTGGATTAGAATGAGACAGGGAAAGTTATTTGAGGTGAGGTGTCTGTTGTTTCAAATGGCAATAACCGGCAACTCATTGTCACGATACGTCTCTAGGGAATTTTATTTGAGGAAATTGGTTTTTGACGTCAATTGTTCATATGTTGGGGCAGCTAATTGAAGTGTGGTGTCCATTAGACCGAAGGCCATCATTCATTCAAACCATGGACACGACCCAATAAGACACCTTTGGTACCGTTACCTGGTTTTCAGGGAGTGGGATGTGGAGCAGTTCCTCCCGACCGCACGGAAGGTTCTGCCGCACCCTTCCTTCGTGTACTCGGCCCGGTACCACCCGGCGGCGCAGCATCTGGTGATCAGCGGCGGCTACGACGGCGTCCTCCGAGCGTGGAGGGTCGATGTCGACGACATCAACGGCCTGCTCCTGCGCGAGTTTGAGGCCCACGGCGGTTTCGTCAACACCATTTGCTTTGACGCAGAAGGTAGTGAGCATTTCACCGTGACGTCGTATGTACTACCGGGTGGTAAAACATTATGAAATGTTGGATTGGGTTTGCCGTCATCGATTTGGATCCTGAATGCTGTTGGTTTTCGCAAAACGTCAGGACACAGGATGTTTTCGGCGGACAGCGTGGGAAGCGTCATCATGTGGAACACTTCGCTCAGCGATGGCGAGCAGCAGCCTTGGCATCACTGGTGTGTGGAGAAGGTAACGACAACAGCACGCCTCCGTTCAGCCGGTGCTGGGTAATGAGGCTTTAAAATAAAATGAATTCATTTTTTTCAAACACACAAAAACAAATCTCATTTCTGAATTGGATTGTGTTTTCCCCCCCTCTCTCTGCCTGTTGAAAAAAACGATAACAATGGCATTATTCAAAACAAGTTTTGCTTTTTTTCTTGCTCTTCTGAGCTTCATTTGCATTTTTCCTACTGATAGAAAAGCTCAGGATTTTTTTTCCCAGAATGTGCTTTTTCTGCGCATTATTGACTTGCATCAATTTGCCTTCCACAAAGAGAATAGTAGTTAATGTTATTTTTTTGTTTTCGTTTTTTAACTGCTCATGTAAAATAAAATAATAAGAAATGTTTCCTCTTGGAAAATGTCCCTTTTGTCAAAAAATGTGTTGAAACACTTTCTTTTAATGAACAATTTAACATAAAATAAGCGGTCAGTTCCTCAATGCACCCATCAAATTGATAAATTGGGAACACTCCTTTCGAGCTCCTCTGTTTCTTGTTATGTTGTGAGTGTAAATGCTGCACGTCAGCGGAGAAGGGAGAAAAAAAAAAAGCATCCTTAAAAATCCATTCCAAAATTGATACAAATCATGTCATCGCCCAGCCCCGACCGACTTCGGCCTAACGCTTCACGTGGTCGCATTACAGATTCACGCCGAGGCTGACCTCAAGGGGATCCCCATCAACATGCTGCAGGTGCATCCGAGCGGGCGCTGCCTCCTCATTCATGCCAAAGACAACGTCCTCAGGAGCTTGGATCTGAGAGTGTAAGACTAAAGTGCAGCACGGATGGACACGCAAACCGATATTTTTGAGAAGGGTTGATAATAATAGACTGTTCGTTCGGGAATATACACGCATTTCCCCAAATTTACGATGGCCACCACACCCCCGATAGCCACAAAGATAATTTGAGTCATCTGCTTCAGTTTTACAAATGCATGAAATTCTAGTGTTGAATCAACTTGTGGCAGGGTGGTCTGAACTGCAGAAAATACTCGATGTGTTTTGGGCAAGGCCTTTATTTGAGTAATTGTTAACATTGATTTAATATTATTTATCAATTATAATATGTACATAATGCAATATATATTGTAAAAAAACAAAAACAAACTCAGTTATTGAGTAATCGTCGATACCAATGCCAGATGATTTTAAGGAAAGGCCAATATATTCCAATTGAACAATTTTCCTGAAAATTGCATGAAATTAATGGCAATTTTCTGTTCTTCTAATTTCTTGTTCCTGATCGTAAAATGGCCACAAGGGAGAAATAAACACATTACCTGCAATCGGTACTCGCCCATCCCGAATATTAATGTTGCATTGTATGAAAATGAATTATCTTGTCTGGAAAAAAAATAGATGCCATAATATTTTTTAGACAATATTCTTAAGTAAGTCATTCCTGTTTACTTGTTGAGAAATGTGAACATTATCGCATTGTCATCACATGTTGAAATCACTGTCGGACTGTTTTTTAATTTATTTTTGCCATCCCAGCATGACAATGAAAAAGTACACGGGAGCCACCAACCAGCGAGAGAGGCTCAACAGCACCTTCACGCCGTGCGGCAGTTTTATCTTCTCCGGCAGCGAGGACGGCATGGCGTACGTTTGGAACGCGGAATCCGGCGACCAGGTCGCGGTGTACTCGGAGCTTTGCTACAGCTCGCCCTTGTGCGGGGTGTCTTTCCACCCTCACGAGAACATGGTGGCCTTCTGCGCCTTTGGGGAGAGCCAGCCCGTGCAACTTTACCTGCACGACCGCAAAGGTAGAACTGGCCTCTACGGCCTTGAAATAAATTCACTCTATAGTTGAATATGGAGTAGTCAAATCGTGTCTAGGCGCCTGCCGTGAATCATTAGAACCGAATGGTCGTCCAGCACCACTGAGGCTTCTACTTTTTGTTTCACCGCAATCACACACCCTCAAGCTTTTTTTTTTTTTCCCCCATTTACAGTGTCCCAATTGGACGCGCTCGGCATGAAGGAGCTCAGGCCACCGTCAAACACGCCCGAACCGGTTCACAGCACGCCGGATTCCCTCTCGGTGGACCAGCTGAGCCAAGCTACCAGGCTGGCGTTGAAAATGCAGCGAGTCAAAGAGCAAATGGATTCCGTCCTTGTAAATAGACAGAACAGCTTCTTAACCCCTCGTTTTAGACTTTGTCGTGTATAGTGTTACTATGTTGTTTTTGTTTTGTTTTTTTTGAAGGATCCAGATCGCGGGTCTTCATCTTTTGAACCAGGTACTGCTTGCTTCAGTGGTTCTAAAACCGCTCTCAGTTTTAATGGTTCCCTGGACCCAAAATGTGAAAATCTCTGGTTGACTTTAATACTAGTACCTTTTATTATTTTTAAAAAAATGAATAAATTGTTTTCTTTTGTGTTCCCTGTGACAGGAAGGAGTCTGTTTTCAGACGTCAGCACGGTACATGTTTTTCATTTTTACTTCATAACCTCTCATAGTCCATTCTGAAAGCTACCCCATACTCTCCACTCACTGGCCACTTCATTAGGTACACACAATTTTAATGAGGGCGTGATTGACACTGAATTGAACTACAGGTACATGGTTTTCATAGTTTGTCGTGGCGTGCAGCTGCGTTGCAGCATAATGTTTCAGATATCGTGAATTCTTTCTCGGGCGGCCACACGAGAGTCGGTGTCGCGCAGTACTCATGTATTGCAGCCACAGTTGTAACCATGGCGACATGTATATTTGAGACCGCTTTTGTGTTGCATTTCGCTGAATGTGCATGTGATGGGTTGGAAGAGTATAAAATCCCAGGTATCAATCAAGGTCACGCGTGTCTTCGAAATGCGGAACTAATGTCTCCCTTCCGCACTTAGATGAGATCCAACGCCTCGCTCCCTCCTCTCGTGGGCGGCTTCAGTCCAGTTGGGCTGCATCGGAAGGGAACGTCATCGTCGAGGCTTCAGACGGTGAGGACGCCCAATTTTCGTTAGGTCTCGCTGCCAAGTCATGGGTGCAAAAACTCTGTTTGGGTTGGTCATTATGGAAATTAGCCGGGCCGTTGCGTCCCTTTTTGGGGAAATTCAGAACGGCCCAAAGACTTACGCGGCAAAATTCTAAAATGAGAACCGTTCACCTACAACGTGTAGTCGAACCCACTTTAATTTCAAACATCTTACATCATTACCTTACAAAATATATTGAGTGCCCTACAAGGTAATTGAATTTAAAAATTGGGAAGGCAAGGACACCGGCATGTACAAACAACTACTTCCCGATTAGCCATTTTTATTACATTTTTGATACAGTGGTATATAAATATTCTGGTGAATTGCAAATCACTGGGGCTTTGATTTTTCTTTGCATTCAGCCAATTAAAAAATGTATTTGACATCATCTGTCCGGCTTACACTTACCTGCTTAATATTTGTCACTCCACAGTCACTTCCGAGCTATGAGCCTCCCGCGGACTCGTCTCACCATGTGGTAAGTGTCCACCGTGACTTCTGCTACTGACACAACATGACTCTTGCTCCGCGGCGATCACCTGCCACGTGGCTCTGTCTCGCAGGTGGTGTCGCTGTACGACTACAAGGCCAGCCGCTCGGACGAGCTGACGTTGCGCCGCGGCGACGAGATCCGCGTGCTGTATAAGGATAATGACAATTGGTGGTTCGGGAGCCTGGCGGACGGGCAGCAGGGCTACTTTCTCGTCGCCTACGTCGCCGATCCGAGTACGTCGGCTGTAGCGTTGCCCCACGACAGTGAATCCCCCGTTGATTGCGCGTGCTATCTTGCATACCGACTACAACAGGTCTGCGATACGAGCGGCCATATATATAAAAATAAATAAATAATCACACCGCACCCTTTCAACACATTTCAATTTATGAAAACAGACTGTAAAGTATGAGTACATCCTCTCAGTCGCTCCCACTGTTTCAAATAAGAAGCCAAGCGTGCTTGCTTCAAGCTGAGTATTACACCCAGTTGAAGTTTACTGTTGAATTTTACATAAAAAAACAAGACTGTTGAACTTTTTATATTCAAACACCAAAATGTTCAAACAAACCATGGAATTTTGTCAAAGGAAAGGCTGCTAGCTGAGTGCTAGCATATAATGTGAAACGCTATTGATGGGCTAACAGAAATTAGCATTGACGTTATGGACATTATAAACCGTACAGTAGACGTTAACGCAATGAGCACACCCATGCAGGAGCTGCGGTCACCCACAGCGCACACCCAAACCCAGCCCCGCCTCTTAAAAGCACATACACACGCCTAACAAACAATGCATTGCATACAGTATTTTCTAGACATTTTGCTTTTATTTGTTTATTTGTTCAAACTTGAAATCGGTGTGTGGGACGAGGTAAAGTATAATTGGAAAAAAAATGTGTATTTTCATTAATTGTGGGCGTGTATGGAACATATCCCCGCAATCAACACCATGTATGGTATTGTTTAATGACGATCCATTTTCATGGCCATGTGCTGAGCTGATTTGCGCTCGTAGGAGACTCCGGCGAAGAGGCGGCGGCGGACGCGGCCATTGAGAGGATGACGTCGACCAGGGTGAGCTGATTTCACGTTGGACTTTGTTAGGTTCCATTTATGTTGAATCCCTTTTCAAACATCCCCTGCGGGCTTTGTGGTGTCCTTGGAGAAGTCATACACAGTAGCCACAAGATGGCAGCTCTTGATAGCAGGTGACATAGCAGTCATTCATTTAGTGGAGGCTCATGCTGTATTTGAAAAGTTATGTATCAAATGCATATTTTAAAAATCGGTTGTGTGTGGGTTAAAAGGTCTCACTTTTTCGTCCCCAAAATGAAGACAGTCATCAACCTTTCAAAATGACACTTCATCATTAACAAATGTCGTCCTGTGCAATTTCCAAGATTTCCACTGCAACGACTCCTCCCGGGGAGCTGCGGTTTCTCTCTGAGCCTGCCCTAACCGACACTGAGCCCGAGTTGTTGGAAGCCAAGTAAGTCACTGTATGTTTTTTTTTTTTTAAAAGTCATGTTTCAAAACTGCTCTCAGTACTGATGCCATAAAGTTGGAGCACCAATGCAAACCGATACAAGCAAAAGTTCCGACAGGGAGCCCTTGCTATTAGGGACCAAGCAAAAATTTGTGAGTCATGTTTGTAATTCCCCCTCGACTGACATATTACCCAACTAAACACACCTCTCTTGGTCAGTTTTTCTGCCAAATCGGCTTTGGCCTCCCCCTCAAAAAATACAAAAACATTCCATACTGGCTGTGGGCCCTATTCATATGTACATTTTCCTCTTGGTACAGACTTCAAAAGAAAAAGAAAGTGAAGAAAAATGCGGAAAGGCGACCGCCGCCACCACTGCCCGTGTCATCTCAGGACACGTTTTCCAACCCGGATGTCGGAACCGAGTCGGCAGACAAAGTCCCACCCAGTCGCCGTCCCCTTCCGAAGAGACCGACCAAGAAGCCCGGTGCTGCTGTGCGACTCGACCCATGACGGTACTTTTTTGTCATGATTTTCTAAAGAAGACAATATATTTTTTTTTTTGTACAAAATGTCAACTTTCTTGACATGATTTATTTGTAAGGGCTGAATTTCTGGACAGTGGCGCCTCCAAAGTGGAACACAATGCATTGATCCGATTTCAAAAAATGTTTTCCCCTCCAGAGGAAATAATGTAAAGCAACTCTGTTTGAATTTCGAACTTTAGAAGTTAACCAAGTGTGTCATACAACTAAAATGAATTTGTGTTACTCCCCGTGTGCACAGCTAATTGAACGGTCAATGATTTTCACGGTAATCGTTAGCCACATGCTATCAAGGTTAGCATCTAAAAAAAAAAAAAAAATCAAATAAATGTAATTTATAATGAATTCCAAGCATCGCACTGAGCGACCAGAGCATACTTGACTCTGTGGTCATTTCCTATTCTATGGTTATCATCACTTGTGGAGTTCAGCCACATGAAATCCCACGAGATGTGCCGAAATCCCACGTCTTGATAGTTTCAAGTCCCAAAGCGCACGACTCTCCACATGTATTACAGGCCCCCAAAAATATTCCAAAAGTGTCTACGATAGTCGAGGGTTGATTTTTATACAGTGCAGTATTAAATTTTGACCATCATTTGAGTTGCCTTTGTCGTCTTTTACGGTGCATCCAGAAAGTATTCCGACAACCAATACTTTTTTGATGTCCTGTACATAAAAGTGCAATAGAGCCGGCTGACTGTTTGCCATTTACAATATGTACAAGATTTATTTATTAAAATTAAAAAAAAAAAAAAAATCCAGGATGCATTGCAAGTACAGAATAATCGGTCTGCTGTGACATTCATCTGCTGATAAAAAGAAGGGGAACCACCTTTATCAAGTATTTTACAAATACTCAAGTTTTTTTTTTTTTTTTACTGGGATTTTATTCATCCAAGAGTGGACTTTTTTTTTTTTTACTGGGATTTTATTCATTCAAGAGTGGACGTCTTTCATCCATATGTTGCCTCTTGTCGGGAAGCCTAAAAAAAAAAAAAACAGACCGGCAAAACAAGATTTTATTTCTGAGGGTTTAAAAAAGGAGCAAAGATGATTAGAGCAACGAAGAATGGAACGAGGATAGTTGCTATGAGATGGAAAAAAAGGGGGTAAGGAGAGAAGTGCAGATGAAAGAATCCAGGGAGGGTTCGGGAAGCAGGGAAGAAAGATTTGAAAGGATGGAAGGAAGGATGGCTTGAGAAGAAGGAAGGGAACAAGGATACGATTCAACGAGGGCAAGAAGCGAGTCAGGGTGGATGACATGAAAGGAAGGAGGAGCCTTCAACTTGCAATGCTTGAAACCATTCATCTATTCAATTACATGTAAATGCTAAATATACATAAAAAAAATAAAGTGTAGACCAACTTTCGGCACATTCTGTACAAATGTAGAAGCGGGTTGTTTACCTTTGCGAGCTTGCCGGATGCGAGACGTAGTAGAGCGCCAGCAGGAAAGCCTGACAACACATTATGTCATCAACCAAAGGGGGGTGGGGGGGGTCATTTTACGCACTTTCAATTTAGCTCCCTCAATACAGCTTTGGAATTCCTCAGGCAAGTGTACTCAAGGTTTACTCATCAACTCCAAAGGGAGGGGCTGTTCAAAAAAAGAAAAAACTCCGACAGATTCAACTTACTCCCAGGAAGGCCAAGCCTCCTTGAATGGCGGCTGCCCACTCGAAGCTCAGCCGCTGTGTGATGATGCCGCCCATGGTGGGCCCGTAAAACATCCTGGAAACGAGGCACAAGCACATTTCTGGGCGTTTTTTTGATCAGACCTGACAAAACAGGCTTCTGTTGAAACCTCACATATTTTTGCCAATCGTGTGGATTTTTAACGCTTATTACTGACATCACATATTTTTTTCCCCATTGCCGGGTCTAATTTCCTGGCTAAACAGGCAGCTGTATAAAATTGAAGCTTTATGAAGTTTGCCATGATGTGTATTCAGATGTTGAACTTAGTTTGTTGTGTCATCACTGCTTCGCCACCACTGATTCCGTATCAATCAAGACTCGAGCAGTTTGCTGGCTGCTGTATGAATTAAAAGCGAAGAAAATTTGCCAGTCATGTGGACTTTTGACACTGACACGTTGCTTTCCGATCATGGACAGACCCGACTAGTTTACTTGCTATATGGACTGTTGTGTAAATTGAAGCCTTTAATGGCCTGATTTCAAACTCTGTTCCATCATTCCTCCTTTGCCCATTGTGGATTTCCCCGATTGATCTGACCCGATTAGTTTACGGGCTAATCAGGCTCCTGGTTCTGTATAAATGGAAGCATGATGAATTTTGACGATCATATGAATTGTTCGTGCTCCCACATCATGATTGCGCAATTACACTCCACCTCACATCTTTCTTTCTCTAATGATCAAACCCGACTAGTTTGCCGATTATTTCATAATTTGAAGCCTTACAATTTTTACCCGTCATGTATTTTGTTTTTCAAGCTCTGCACCTTTCGTTACTGATTTTCCAATCGACCCGATCAGACCCGACTCGTTGTACTGGACTCACCCCATAGACCAAACGGCTCCGAATAAGCCTGACACCATTCCTAGAGTGCTCAGTCCCTCCTCAAAACCGTTGTCGCTGCAAGAGAGAAGGAACAAGGCAATCAAAGAACGACCTTCCTCAACCTTGGCAGTGTAAAACCGTGGAAATGATGCCCCGGTCACTGACTAGGCGCACTTGATGACCTCTGGGAAGATGGGGATGGCGGTCATTGCCAGGGAAAAACCGATGACTCCCAGCATGATTACCAGCAGCCATAGTTGCCTGAGGACGGAGACGGATGACTCAATTCCCACACAGACACTTGCGTTTTATAATCAATAGAGGTGAATAAAGGTAAATCGAACATTATACGATATTTGTAATATTTGCACCGCGAGTACAAATAAATGACGAAAAGAAAACAAAGTCGAGAATAAAAACATGACGCGCATTGATTTTTGTCGAACAGTCACTTGTCATCATTTAAGAAGCTTAAGGGGCAAGCTGGGTTTTGCATAATCTTGTTTGGCAGCGGGCTTGTGGACCTCCTTTGTGCGTTTGGTATGCTAATCAGATCAAGTCGGTGGACGAGGTCAAACTATGGTTGTTAACAATGCGAGTAAAGCTAGCGTTTATTGATTTATTTTTTATTTATTTCGTTTTAAGAAAATCATTCCGATCAAAAGTCATTTATCAATAGGGATGTGTTAATCACATTTTTTTTTTTTTGCATCCAAGTCATTTGTTGTTTTTTTTAGTATCTGCCGATAAACCGAGTCTCGATCCGATACCTCGGCAATGCATTATGAAGAAGAAAGAAAAAAAAAAATCGTAATTTTGTAAAAACAATTCCCAACACGGTCAAGTTTTGTATGGCTGTAAGTCGGCAGTGGTTCAAACTAAGTAAACCAATAAAATATTCTTTCTTCACTTTAGAAATGTAGCGAATTCAAAAATCGGACCTTTTTCCAGCCGATCCCAATCAGGTGAAAAATCAGGCGATTGGCCCAGATTTCCGATCACGTGATCTGATCGGGACGAATTAGCACAAATAAATGACGAATGAAAAAAAGAAAAACTTTGCTAAAAAAATATGACATGGATTGATCTTCTCTAACAGTAACTTGTTTTCATAAATTTAAGAACCAAAAGAGGCCATATGGATTTTGCGTAATCTTTTTTTAGCGGCGGGCTTGTGACCACCTTTATTTTTGCCATGTCCACAGTTGCTAGCGGCAGGTTGGAGACAACCGCAGTGCCTCCTTGATGTACGATGACTGTAATGTACTTTATTCTGGAGTTAGCCAATCCTCCTTTAAACCTGTCCAGTTGGGTCAAAATGCTGCTGCTCGCCTCCTAACAGCAGAACATAAATGGGAGCCCATAACTCCCTCCACTTTCTGCTTCTGCATTTTGGAATTCATTTTGATTGCTTGGTTTGGAGTTTGATCTCTTAGTTCCAGCTGTGATTGTTTCATGCAGAGAGTTGCGTTTCGGCAACTACCTCGGTATGTGAAGGAAAGGGACGGGCCCCAGCAAGAGGAAGCCGGCCGCCGTGGCGACGCCTCCGATCACCATGAACCAGCTCCTGGACGCCTAAAGATGAAGGATGCGTGCTTAAAAACGAAGACTTACGAGAAAAGATGGCTTTCGATACTCACGGGGTATTTATCGGTGAAGAAGCCCATCAGTGGGGAGCCCAGTGAGTACGGGAAGGACAGACCTAGCATGATCAGGCCCACATAGCCGGTGGACAGGTGGAACTGTTCGACGGCGTACAGCGACAACGTGGCGTCCAGGAAGCCCAGACCCGAGCTCAGGGTGAAGATGACGTAGCAGAGCAGGAGGATTTTCAGGTTTTTGAGAAGTCTCAAGAAGGAGGTCTTTGAGGAAACGGCGTCTGAGAAGTGGCAGGCAGTTAGGACTCCCTATTGAACAGACGCAACAGGTTTGCTGACTAAACAGGTTGCTGTCCAAATCGAAGGCTTATGATTTTAGTCGATCAAGTGGATTTCTAACATTCTTCCGTCATCCACGCTTTCCCACCGCGGATTCCCTGCTAATCAGGCCTGATGACTTTGCTGCCTGGGCAGGCCGCGGTCTCAATGGAAGCCTTACGCTATATCGCTGCGTCCCCACCACCTGAGCCCATGTTGATCAGACCCAACTAGTTTGCTGGCCAAACCAAAAAAAAAAAATCTAAAAGAAATGTAACGTGATCTGATGAAATATTATACCGATGGAGGGAAGGATGTAGATGTTGAGCGGCACCATAATCAGCAGGAAACAACCGAGCACCATGAAGGGAACCTCGTATCCGAAGGACTGGTAGAACCAGCCTCCAACCGGCGGCCCCAGGATGAGGCCCAGGCCCGTAAACACTTCCAGACTTCCCTGCAAGGAAAAGAGCAAAGCAAATCAATACAAAAAGATGATAAATGTACACACTCTTGAATTCAATAACGGAAACAAAAAAAATAAGGCATTTAAATGATCACATTTTAGGGAAGTAAATGGCTGAAGGAATGCATGCGACATATTTGCAAGATTCCGGCCAACTTGAATGCGCGGCGAGGCGCTGCTGACTGTGGCGTATTCATTCGCATAATTCTCGCACATGAACTCATTTTCCACATGACCACTCGGACAGGACACAATGGAGAATATAAAGCGTCAAGAAAAGGGTAAAGATCAGACCCGGTGGCTGTGTCCAACGAAATCGCCCCTGCCGGCTTCAGCTTGATGATTTTATGGAACCATGTTGTTGCAAATAAAACACTTTGTAGCGACCTTTAAACACGCCGTGACCGATACGTTTGATCGCTTCACCTTTCCGACAAGCTGATTGGCAACAGCGCTTCCGCTTACAAGGTGTGTCAAGACCAGAACGACAAGAACCAGAACGCTAGCTTGTTGGCTAAAACGGGTTGTGGGTGAACTTGAAGCCTCACGAAGGTTTTCAACCATTTTTTATTTATTAATACTCTTACGTCCCAATTTATTGGACAGTCGTTGCTTCCCCGTCACAGATTCCCGATTGATCAGACCCAACTTGTTTGTGCCTCACAGAGTAATGTTAACATACTTCCCGCTCGCGAGGGTCTCCCAAGGCAGCTGTCATCGGGGAATGCGACGGCAAACGTTTGCGCTCGTGATCACGCGGCGTAAACAACATGCCAGATGCAGACAAAGGGCCGCCCACACTCACCAAAACAGTCGCCACATTGTTTGGGAATACTTTTGCCGAGAGCGCAAAGGAAGAGGTCATGGCGGCGGCGAAGCCAACCGCGTCCACAGACCTCACGATGATGCACAAGGCGATAAAAACCGTACCGGCGGGGACTCGGTCCAGCAGCCTGCCAAGAGAAATCAATCCTAAGATAAGATAGTGGTTCTCAAACTGGGCTCTGGGGACCGCCAAAGGTCTGGGAAACTGCAAAATTTGGAATACATTTTGTAAATGTAAAAATGTCTTTTTTTTTTCTTTTTTAATTCCGAGAGCATTGAGAGATGCATGCCGTAGTTACGTTTGATTGATTTGAATCGTGAGGATTTTGAAGAGGTCCTCTGGGGAAAACTAAAAACCTCCCTGGACCCTAATTTGGAGAACCCCCGTTTGAAACCGATCTGAATTGCAATGGTCACCCAAAGAGAATGGTGCAGCCCGACGACACAAAGAGGCCCAGGATCAGCATCATTTTTGCGCCGATTTGAACAATCTGAGAGAGAAGGGGAAAAAAAAAGGCACATTAAGTGTGCCTCCAATCACGTGCATTACATGCGTCAGGCGGGGGGATACTCTACTTACATATCGGCCCAGGATCAAGGCGCCAATCAAATTGCTCACGGCGTAGCAGCCAAATATGACGCCAACCATTGTCTGAGATGCACCTTTCTTTTCTGCCTGGGCGCAAAACAAACATTCATTCCAATATCAAAACTCATTCAAATGAATTCCAAAAAGGATTCGGTGTGAAATGTATCGTTGGGATGCTCATTCTCCGATCGTCGTTTTAAGCAATTTGTACTTGGATCTGAACAACGCTACACACCAAATTAAGGCTGAACAATCCGTCCAATTCAACGTCGTAGAATGCCATTTTCAAATCGCAATTCTGTGTGTTTGTGTGTGTGTGTGTGTGTGTGTGTACACACACACACACACACATTTAAATATTTTGCAAACTTGACATTTTTTCGTGATTGAATTACTTTTTTAATTTAAATTAATTACTAAATATTTTAAAATATAACATTTTCCAATCGTACCTCACTTATCCCCTCCCCTTGACAATGTGATATTTTTTTGTGTCAAATGTCTGACTTTATCTCAAATCCGTTTTGATCTTAAAAAAAAAAAAAAAAGTGCGCCTTCAGTCCAGCAGCATGGCTTTTTCTTTTTTTTTTCGACAAAAATATACAACCTTCTACTGATACGATTGCAACTTGAACTGGACAATGTCATTGAGGACAGCAGGTCAACCTAAACTAAAGAGAGAAGCGAGCCATAATCTCTATGTGGTCCTAGGGAGGGTTAAGAGAGCTTTTCTGCACAACGTGTACCTCGATGGGGAAGAAGGGTCCCAGGATGGAGTAGCAGATCATGGAGCTGAAATTGACGGACGCCATGGAGATCAAGGTCAGGGTCTGCTGCCTTGTCATCCTTGTCGGAGGCTCCCTCAATTCCTCTTTTTTTTGTTTTGTTTTCAAAGAAAATATGAAAAAGTTATGTCTTGTTTATTCGGGCACCAGGACTATTTTATGACAATAACCGGTCATGAAAAGAAATCATATTCCAGAATTTCTAATTTCCCAAAATTAGTCGATTCAGGCAACTAATCGATGACCAAATTAAGTCAATGTTCATCTAAGAACTAGACTTAAAATATACAGTCTGCTTTATTTTTAACGTACGCGCATTCAGGAGCTGCTAGAAAAATGCAGACCAAAAAAAAAAACTTCAATGAAGCACAGTAAACCGAATAACTCCATGATTCCACCAGATGGCGCAAAAGTAACGTGGGGGTTAAATTCCAGTGTACCGGCAACACTGTCAAAATGTTCAAACAGGTGGTCCTAAACTACACTAAATTAGCTCACGTTTCAGCTCATAGAGTTGCTGGTTAGTAAGAAATCTGCTATAAAATTAGCTACGTACAATTTGATCATTTGCTGAGCATTGAAACCACAAAATGTGAACCGCAGTATAGCGAGGGACGCACGGACCGACATTTCTTCAGCCTGACCATAAAAACAGCGAGTAGGTGAGTTTTTTTTCTGTGAAAACCAGGGCACAAGTTCGAAACAAAAATCAGTGGATATGCAAACGCTAAGCTGTGAATATACAGGGATTTATGATAAACAACGTGATTCTTGTTCTAACTTTTTTTTTCCCCTTGAACACACCCCTTTTTGTTCTCACAATACAAGAATGTGTGTACGAATTCCAAAGTGCGAACAATTAAAGACATTGAAACGGGAAAGCCGGATCGGCTCCCCAAACCTCAAGTGTGCGCGGTGCACATAATCACGATTGCCCCGTGCTGCCCCTTATTAAAAGTCAAACGAACAGACCTTGTGGCTGAAGGTCCGCTTCCACTTCGGCCTCCATTTTCGTTCTTTTGTGAACGATTCCTTGCGGGTTGCTGTCCAAGTGTTGCGATATTCAAAAAGAGAAACAAAAGGGACTGACTGACATGAACAAGCAGACGCGCCCACGTTCACTTGCTTCACTTCTTTTTCCCCGATTTAAGACAGCACAGACTCAGCGGCTGCTTCCGGGAGCGCCTTCAAACTAAAAGCGAGTAGTGATTTCAAATTAAAGGTGAAATTTCCAGTCCGTTGGTTTCAACTCTAAGGTCTTTTGGGATGACAGTTGTAATTTGTGCTGGAGATTTTTTTTTTTTCTTTTTGGGGGGATTAGGGAGTATATTTTTGACTGATGAAAGATTTGAAGTTTAAGTCTCAATAGGATGTCATTTTGTGTAATGTAGTGGTAACATATAATTATTAGTTAAATTTCAATAAAATTATGCATTTAAAGAATGGACTATGACAGTTAATAAATTCAACAAAGGATCAGTTTTTAGAATGTGCGAAAATCAATACATTACGAAAATAGTAAGGTGACAAGTAAGTATACAAATGAAGAAATCAAATTGGAATGCAAAACGTTTGGAATAAATCATTTATTTATTTTGTCTAGCTTGTGCGTCCATGTCAAATGTAAATCTCGGGTCACATCTCATTTTTTTTTTTTAATCACATATTAAGAATAGAAAGAAAACTTAACAATATACCATAAATCAATATTGCCTCATAGTGACACACACACACACACACACACACACACACGCACACACGCACACAATAAGTGAAAACTATCGAGCAGCGTGACATTAAACAGAAATCTTTTGCGATAACGAGTGCAGTAGTTTCTTTGTACATTAGCACCAGAACTCCAAAATGCGTGATTATCCGATGTTGAATCCCATTGCAACGTTTTTTTGCTGACATCCTCAATCAACCTTTAGCAGTGCAAAAGTATAAATGTATGCATCAAAACTGTACAGTGTTCCACCGCATATTCATGTCTTTGGAGTTAAAAAAAAATAAAAATAAGCATTTTCGAAGAGGAAAAAAAGTGCTTTGTTGTGCGCCATCTCGAGGCATTCTGAACCTTTGTGGGAGAGCGAATCGAGGGGGAACACTGTACTGGGGGTAAAGACAAAACTGAAACTTGTGATCGAATTTTGCGGTCGGTAGCACACAGTTAGCACTGACTGACACATCCAAATAGAATATTTCAAGAAGCATCACAAGCACCCAGCCAAAAATAACATCAACACAAAGCCACTTTTTTTTCTTCATGTGAAAACTTTACGCATGAATGATTAGAAATGATTCAAATAAAGAACCGTCAGCAAGGATAATCGTTTATTTGCTAGTACGCTGAAGTTTTGGTTGAATTTACTCCATTTGAATTCCGCAAGTGGTGGCATGAAATAAAATTGTCAGGATCTAGAGATGTTTTTTTTTTTTAAGTAGACTTTACAATTGTGTAAATTCAACACACCGTTTTTTTCAGTGTAGCAGTTTATCAAAGTCCGTAAGGTCCTGGTTTTTGCCAAAACCAGGCCGGGGGCCCGGCTTCCTTGAGACTTTTTTGTGTGTCCTGTTATGTTCCACATGTCTACCAAATTTGGTGTCGATTGGTGAAGTTGGTGTCAGGGGCTGTGTTCCCCCCCCCCCCCCCCCCCCCCCTCCGCACCCTGTACAGCTTTCCAACTGAGCACAAGTCCTGGAATTCACCCTCACTGGTTGCTGACTCCTCTTCTACACTTTCAGCTTGAGACTTTTTTTTTTGTACGTGCGGTTATGAGAGACATGCCCACCACATTTTGTGTCGATTTTTGAAACTAGTGTCGGGGGCTGAGTGAGTCTTGGGGTGGAGGGCGCAATTTATCTTCCGAAACAATTTCACCAAACGCTGTAAAAAAAAAAAAAATTTGGAGCATGCAAGGGCCCCCCAAAATGAATGCTAAAAAATTTCTGGATTCCACTAATAGACGAATAAGGTATGCACCACTTCCTCGAAGTAACGTGGATAGAAAAAAAATATATACAAACTCTGACACTCATGAATACATTCATCATCGTGATAAAGACACCCCAAAAAAATCTACAAGTGCTTCATATATTTGCTATTTTGATAAAACTTCACATTTTCTTTCAAAAAAGATCTCAAATAATGCCATTGCATCTCAGTGGGGGAATTTGTCATACTCTGGCTATAGTTGAACTAACGATAATTCAAACTTATTTAAATGGGCTTCAGAAGGTGCGCCTAGTTCAAATTTAGCTCATTCGCGGGAGGCTTGTTTGAAATGCCATTTTCAAACATTCATCCGGCGGGTCAAAGTGCTCATGTCATAAGCGTGACAAAGTGAAATGGTGAGAAATGGCCCAAAAAGCTGCTTGAGCGAGCGGCATGAAAGCTTCACTTCAGGCGTTGAGTCACGTTGGCCAAGGCCACGGCAAACGCCTGCACTGCCGAGAAGGGATACTGGAAATCCAGGATGTAGGCGTTCCCGTCGATGCGTCCGAACTGCATCACCTAAAAGTTTGTTGAACAAGAATTGTCAGGATGGAAACAAGTAAGCAGATGGCACCGGCCGTAACATTTCCGACTTTCAAAACAAATCACGCTCAAGAAATCTTGACTTTTCACAATCATGCGCCACAAAAAAAAAAAAAATCTCTGTCCTCCTGTTTTCCTCACATGCCAAAATATGCATGTGAGGACCATAGAAGACGCTAAATGTCGCATAGATGCACATTTTAGCGTGCATTGCTGTTGATGTCGATCGATGTGAACCATTGCCGCTGACATTCACACCGATGGAAAATGTAGCCACTTGAAATAAACCTCACATACCCGAACTGTAGGGAAAGCTGGAAGGTATCGCAGCTGACTTTTGGAGATAAAAATCGAGGTGCACCCTGGACTGGTGGGCAAACAATCTTTCACACTCACTCATTCATACCTCTGGTATGAATTAAGAGTCTTCACCAGTAATGACTTTCATCCATCCATCAAATTACCTGTCGGCCATCAAGCTCAATCTGGAAGTTTTTCGCGGACTCCTGCGTGACCCGTCCTCCAAAGTCCAGCTGGTAGACCTGCGTGGCTTCGTTCCACAGAGGCTGCTTGTTGGCCATCACGTAGACGAAGCCCTGGCTGCCCAAACTGCGGTCCTCCCGTTCGTTGGCCTTGCGGCACTTAATCTCCTCCAGCTCGCTCGCCATGCGAAGGCTGCGCTTGTTCTTCCAGCTCTTCTTGCTGCTCTGGTTCTGGTTCATGAGTTCGTCGCCGCTGATAAAAAGCTCCGGCTCGCTCTCTGAGCTGTCCTGGAATTCGTTGGCAGCCCGGCTCATCTTCTTGGCTCGGTTGAGCTGCTCCCGGGGTCCTTTGGGCTTCTTCTTCTCTCTGTTGCCTAGTCGCGGGCTGGCGATCAGAGAGTTGAAATCCGACAGCGTGCGACCGTCCTTTCTCGACGCCGAGGACACGTTGCCCTCCTCGGCTCGGCTGTCCGGTCTCTTGCGGCTTTTCTTGTTGAATCGGTCCGACTCCTGCGTCACAGGACTTTCGTTGAGAGACGACGGCTCCGGAAAGCCGGTGGCGGACTCCGTCGGGTCCTCTGTGGCGCATTTGGAGGGGGGCAACTCAGAGGGCGGCGGCGGTGGAGGCAGAGGCGGTGGCGGCGGCGGCGCGGCCGCAGGGGGTGGCGAGAGGATGGACTTCTCTAATGTCTGATGAGTTTTGGTTGGAAGAGGAGGTGCGGGAGGGTCCTGCATGGGTGGCGGGCAGGGGTAAGGGTTCCAGGGGTGCAAGTTGACAGCGTGCAGCTGAAGCCCGGCGCAGGAGCCGGCACCCGGGTACATCGGGGGCAGGGTGCAGCAGGCCAAGTTCGCCAGACTTGTGGAGTACCCTGTCGATAAAACCAAATTGGAGTCCTGCTGAGCAAATGGAACCGGAAGAACCACTTCGCCCGGACCGCATTGCGGTGGGGGGTTCTGTAAGGTCTGCATGGGGGGTCGACTGTGGCCCACGCCGGGAGGGAAAGGAGACAGTGATATCTGGTAGCCTGACGGGAATGTCAGGGTGCTCGTGCCAGGGCTGGACGGCGGCTTCGTCGTGAGGACGAACGGTAGCCGCGTCACGTCCAAGTGCTGAGCCTGGCCGAGGATGAGCGGAGGGGGCTTGTGAGGAGGCGGTGGGGGGGCCAGCATGGTTTGCTCTGGAGCGAGACAGAACTCCTCCGCGGCGGAGGCCTCCCACTGGTAAGGCGGAGGGCGTTTTGCCGAGAGGCCGACGTCACCGAGGGTCATCTGCCGGACGGGTTTATCCAGGTGGCGGTGCTGGCTCAGAGTCTCGTCCTCGGTGAAAGCGGAGTTGACGTACACCGTTCTGTCCCGGCTGGTGTCCATGGAACCCAGGAGACTGTAGGATGACTGGGAGGCGCTTTTGGAGTGCACGATGATTGTGCTGTGGTGTGCTCCTTTCCCCGGGGGGAAGTCCTGCCTGACCACCGTGCCACCCGCAATGCCGCTACTGGATGTCCCCCCGCCGCTAACACTCACACTGGTGCTGCTGCTGTTGCTGCTGCACTGCGTGCACGTGTATAACGCAGTGGGCAGCCTCTGCTGGTAGGTCAAACCCAACGCGCTGTTCATCTTGGCCTTGGTGGGAAGCGTCCTGGAGCTGTCCATCATGGCGGGAACCTTTAGCGTCATGTCGCGGCGGTCGCGGCGCAGGGTGGCGTGGATCAGACTGCTTTCTAATCTCTGCGGCGGAGGTGCGAGGGTAGCCGGGACTTGATTGGCCGGATCGGGATAAGGGGGCGGGTCGCCGCTTGGTATGGAGTACCGTGGGACCGACAGACGGCTGAGTGTCGCCGAGCTGTAGGGAAGATGAACCTTTTTATTCTCCGAGGACGTTACCTTCAGCGTGGCCGAGCCGTGGGCGGCGTACGCGTTTTGGTTGCGCATGAGACGCCTTCGGGGGCGGCAGACTTCCTCGACGTTACCGCTGCTGTCGAATGTCGTGATCCTTTCGTACCCGAGAGGCGTCGGGTACTGTATGGTCACGGGCTGAAGCAGAAAGTCGTCTTTCTTCAGGCAGCCGTCCGGAGCCAGGATGCTGGGGCTGTCGCAGTTTGTGACCAGCGTTTGAGCCGTGGCGTTGGCTGTAACCGCTGCAGACGCCACCGTACCAGGGTAGGGAGGAGGAGGATTCACTTTCCTCGCCTGAATCTCCACAGGCCCACCATCCCTGGTACTAAAGGAAGGCGGTAAAGTCCGGGGCAGGCTTGGCTTCAACAGGTACTCTCGATCGAGTCCGGGCTCGGTGGCGGGCGGCGGGGGAAGCGGCGGCAGGAGATGGATCTGCTGTAGGGCAATGGTGGGGTAGCCGGTGGGCGCCGGCGGCAGCGCCATTTGCATCTTCAGCTGCTGCTGCATTTGCTGATGCTGCCTCTGCATTTGCTGGTGCTGCTGCTGGATCTGCTGGTGCTGCTGCTGGAGCTGCTGCTGTTGCTGTCTCATCTCCTGAATCTGCTGGCGGATCTGCTGCTGCTGCTGCTGCATCTGCTGCTGCTGCTGTTGCATTTGTTCATGCTGCATCTGCATTTGTTGCTGTTGCTGCTGGATCTGTTGCTGCTGCTGGAACGGGTGGCCCCCCGCCACCGGTGGTGGATTCTGCGGCATCTGTTGGTGCTGCTGGACCTGGTGCTGCTGCTGCTGCTGCTGCTGATGCGGAGGCGGAGGCGGAGGCTGATGGTGGTGAAGCTGCTGAAGATGATGCCGTTGCTGCTGCTGGGCCTGCGACGGTTGCTGCTGCTGCTGCTGCTGCCTGGATTGCAGCTGCGGCTGGGACCGCGGCTGGGGCGGGAGATGGTGAGGCGGTGGCGGGGGAGGTAGCGTACCGGGGAGCAGCGGACCCATCTCCAGCCCGTTGAAGATCACCTGCCCGGGGTTTGGGTATCTAGCGGGAACCGGATACGGTGCGGCGACCGGGGGGTCTTGGCTGCGGTCG